TTCTCCCTTGTTAGCTTTTTTCTTAGCCTCTTCAGTAACATTTCTAAATGTTGAGAATTTTTCTTCTTTACAGTAATCACAGAATTGATTTTTAGGCGGCATTTAACTTTTATAAAATAGATTGCAATTTTGAAAAGTGTGATCTTCTTTGTGATCTTTTGACAGTCCGTATAAAACAATTAGGAGAATAATATATAGAAGTTGGAATGATCGTTAATTAGTACACTTGTACCCACTTTAATTGATGGGACTGGTTTGATTATTTTAAACAATATAAATAATTCGTGTAACATTTTACGTGATATTCGAATGTCGCAGAATTTTCAACTGATTATGCGAGGATCCGCAAACTGGGCCCTATTATGCGCGTGATAAATTAAATCAAATTTCCTTTTTTTTCCCCTCCATTTTGAATTCTTTCGACTTTTTAAAGCTTTTTCACAAAAGAAATTATTCATTCACAAAAAATTAAACATATACATTATTGAAGTTTTCATTTGATTTTTTATCTATTAAACAAAGAACAAAAATGAATAAAACAAACTCAAAATTATTGATAGCATTTATGGTACTCCTGATAAGTCTTATTTTCATCCTTCAGTTTACAAGCCCAATTCAATCAACCAATATTGAACATTTACAAAAAAGACAAGACACTCGTAATTATCATTTGCATATTTTCTTCATTTTTCTTGAACAAAAAATAATGCTTTATTTATTTATTTTATAGCACCACCGGATAATCGTAATTATCATTTGTTTATTTTCTTCATTTTTACCTCTTGAACAAAAAATAATGCTTTGTTTGTTTATTTAATAGCACCGCCAAAAGATAATCGTAATTATCATTTTATTTCCTTCATTTTTACCTCTTGAACAAAAAATAACGCTTTATTTATTTATTTATTTAATAGCACCGCCAAAAGATAATCGTAATTATCATTTTATTTTCTTCATTTTTATTACTTGAACAAAAAATAATGCTTTATTTATTTATTTTATAGCACCGCCAAAAGATAATCGTAATTGTCATTTTATTTTCTTCATTTTTATTTCTTGAACAAAAAATAATGCTTTATTCATTTATCTTATAGCATCGCCACCACCACCGGATAATCGTAATTATCATTGTTTATTTTCTTCATTTTTACCTCTTGAACAAAAAATGATGTTTTATTTATTTATTTATTTATTTATAGCATCGCCAAAAGATAGTCGTAATTATGATTTATTTCCTTCATTTTTATTACTTGAACAAAAAATAATGCTTTATTTATTTATCTTATAGCACCGCCAAAAGATAATCGTAATTATCATTTGTTTATTTTCTTCGTTTTTATTTCTTGAATAATGATATTCTATTTATTTATTTATTAATAGCACCAACTCCGGACAGTCCAACACCACCAGCCCCAGACAGTCCAACACCACCAGCCCCAGACACCACAACACCACCACCAGTAGCAGACACCACAACACCACCAGTAGCAGACACCACAACACCACCACCAGTCGCAGACACCACAACACCACCAGTAGCAGACACTACAACATCACCACCAGTAGCAGACACCACAACACCACCACCAGTAGCAGACACCACAACACCACCAGTAGCAGACACCACAACACCACCAGTAGCAGACACCACAACATCACCACCAGTAGCAGACACCACAACACCACCAGTCACAGACACTACAACACCAGATAGTCCAACACAAACCCCAGTTAGTGAACCATCTGAAAATACCCCAACCTTTGGTAAGTCTTTTTTTTTGAAAGGAAGGACACACATATAAATAGAATATATTAATAGTTGTATACCTACCTAGCTAGCTAGATAAATTTAGATTTAGATTTTATGAGTTTTTTAAAAATATAAATATGATCATATCACAAATATATAGTTATTAGTGTTACTACTGCTGACACACCAGCCATTAATACAGTCAAGTAACTGAGCCTAATACATAAAATCAACAGATAAAAATACAAAAACAGATATTTTTAGCAGTAATCCTGTCATTAACACTAATACAGATGCTTTAACAGATACAAATAGCGTTTTCTACTATAGCTTAAGCTCAACTAGGATTAATGTTGATCCAAATACCACTGGTGTATATATATTCAAAAAGAGGATCATATGTATGTGGGGATTTCTAGCAAAAACCAGGTACAAGGCCTCCAAACCAAAAATTAAGCTTCCTGCATAATATATATCTATGCCAGAAGTATTATAACTGGCGAAATTTTAGACATTGGATTGTTTACTTGGTACCATAACAAGATACAGGGCTTGAAATATTCACTTTATATATCAGAAGCCAGAAGCATGTGTAACATATTTTGCAGAGATTGTCACTCAAAAAGATTTACTATACTTACACCTGATTTTTGCTAGAAATTCCCCAACATATATTCAAAGGAAATAATAATTATTTATGAAAATAAATTTTATTGATTTATGATTTTCTTTTCTTTTTTTTATTCTTTTGTATAATTAATTATAGAATTAATATATTTATACTTATATAATTAATATATTTATATTTATATTTAATTTATATAAATTAATTAGCTCCCACTAAAACATATCCACCTGAACATGAACCATGTAAAAAATCTGATGATCCAAGGTGTAAGCCTAAAGCAACAGAGTAAGTCTCAGATCTGTGATTTCTATTTTTTTTACTTAAAAAAAACATTCATTATTTTCCAACAAATTAATTAAATTAATCAATTTATTGCAAAAAAAAATAGCCCAACAGTGATCAGTACAACAGAAGAAAGTGAATTAGTTACAGAACCACCAACACCTAAAAAAACTACAACATCCCAATCCCAAATAGGCACAAGCCAAGAAAAATCAACCATAACACAATTCAAAACTTACACTACCACAGAAACATTATATTTCCCAGGGTACACCACTTATACATCTTCAACAGGGACTGATGGAGAATTAACCACATATGCAACTTACATTCCACCAAGTACTGTTGTGGTGATCAAGAAAGTTACTTCAGCAACTGTAGAAGAAATTCAAGAAAGTAATCCTGTTTCAGCTGGACATCTTGATCTGGAACTCTCAGTTTATAATTTATATAGCATTGCTACATCATTATTTGTTATTTCTGTAACAATGCTTTACTTAATTGTTGCTTAATTAAATAATAGTATTAATAATGGGGTTTCTTAATAGAACAATAGTATTGTAACAATATTATATATATTTGATTTGTAAAGCGTAATATTTTTAAAAACTTTTAAATTAATTAAAATATCTATATATTACTGTCAAGATTTTATTCATTTTATTCGAACAATTCGTTTTATTCTAATTATTCGTTTATTCATTTTATTCTCTTACTCGTTTTATTCGCTTTATTCGAACAATCGAATTCATAATAATAACGAATAAAACAAATAATTCGAACGTATGCGTTTATTCTGTTGAACCCAAAATTTAGCACGATATGATGATGCGAGTTGGGCAGGACCCCGGATAATTTATAGTTGAGGTCGTTTTTGACGCAGAAATTTTTGGATCATATTGAGCACACGGTTGGTAAAGCCAATGTCTCCGAATCTCATAATAAAAATAGTTCTTTTAAAGAGAAGAAGAATCTTTGACACCAGAATCTCATGGCTCTGGATTTGGACCATTTTTACACCTAACATGGCTTTATCTCAAGTTCTAATCATCAAAGCTATGAAATTTTGACGTCAATGATTTATCCCTTTAAAAGAAATTTTTTTTATTACGATGCTTGAAGACATTTACTTGGAATTGCGGACATCGTGTAAAATTTTACATCATATATAGTACCTATGACCTCAATTATAATCATCCGGAGCTCTAGTCAGTCAATTGGCTCAACCAACATACGTTACTAGCAAGATATTTACCAAGAAAAAACAAGCTCAATCAAACAAATCACCATAATATCATGTTGGCCAAAAAGACTCTATTATGAAACAAATTCTGGAGGATAATAACACTTCACTAAAAAATCATATTAAATTATTGCAGCAAATTGAAAATAAAAGCATTATCTTTTTATCATGCTCTTTTTCATCTTTAATATTTCCTTGAAACCATTCTACAGCCATTTCTAGCAGATATAGCTGGACGAAACTTTTTTTAATTTGCTTCATAATATCATGTTTTCCACTATTGATCATCAAGTAATTGTCCTAACGTAGCTTCCGCCTCATAACCTTTGAAAATACATCGATAGGTATGTTTTACTGGTGAAAATTAATTTAATTTTTTAAACTGTTCAATATGTTGCATAGGCAGAGAAATTGTATTGCCAGGAAACTGATGGTAAGATGCATGATCTGAATTTATTTTCATGATGAATAGGACCTCTAGATGTTTTGTATCACTTTTCGTTACAAATAGTGGACAGATATCGATGTTGAATTAAAGAAGGTGATTGTCTTGCCATTATAGATTGTTTTAAAAGCTTTAATAAAATTATGTTTATTTTACATTAGTTACGTTTCATATAGTAACTATTGAGTGTTTGTAATGTTATGAATATCTTATACTAACCAATACTATGTATACTAGCCATCAAATCATAGAATTAAACAATATAAGAATGCCATTTTGGTAATTTATTGTATATTATCCTGATAGATATTTTTCCTAATAAAAATAGAAAGTAATAGATAGGTTTGCGTATGAAAATTTACCAAAGTAAAAAAATGCGATTCCTTTTGATCATTGAATATAATACACACCACATAAAAACATAAAACAGTATATAGTAAGAATAATTTATAAGTTTATAAGGAGTAAACATATAAATTTATTGAAAAAAAAAATTTTTATTTTGCGCGTAAATTTAGATAAAAGCAAACTTGGTGCATATTCATTGATAACTACTGTCTGAAACTAGAAATTTATTCCTATGGTTATTATTAATAAATTTGAGTGTGTATCCGGCCGAGATTTCAATTCAAAACTAGCTAGATTTTCCTCGCAATATAGTAAATTCAAAAGGGGCCCTTAATTAATAATTAAAACCATTAATCGTTAAGAAACAATTTACGGTAGCTTGGCCTCTTCAACTATGCAATAATTTAAAAATGTGTTTATTATTATTTATTTATTAATTAATTAATTAATTAATTAATTATGTTTTGAAAGTCCTTTTTAACCCTAGCGAATCCAAGTTGTTGAAATATTTTTGGCGCAGTGTTGAGTATTGGAATTTAGTTATAGGCGTAAAAACCTCTTCCAATAAGTTTTAGGTTATTAACTTAAAAACTCATGGTTAATAACTTAAAAACCTCTTCCAATAAGTTTTAGGTTATTAACTTAAAACTCATGGTTAATAACTTAAAAACCTATAACATTATAATTAAATATATATATTACTCATTTATTAGTCTTTATTAGCATTTTGTAAGCATTACAATTAAATTTTATAATATTATGAATTTCTTCATTGCCTTGCTTTATAAATTAGTAATATTTTCAAGCAAATCATTTAACATTTCCTTTGCAGTAGACGATGAAACGTTTTTAATTTATATTCATTTTAGTATGTTAAGTACATAAAGCTTCCTTGTAGATATTTTTAATAAAAAAAATTTCACATTTCCTCGGCTATTTTGATTCGCATTATTAATAATTTTTTAAATAACTATAACCCTTTTAATTTTTAAGTTATTAATATAGGTTATTAACCGCCATTACTACTTGGAATTGGAAACTCCATCAGAAGTCAAGCTACAGGCCTTCTAATAATTTATATGCATCTGGAAGCTTCCGATCACCATTGAAATTAGACTTTAAACAGAAAATTCGATAAAGTTAATTTTGACATTTTTTTTTTAACCAATCGTTTATCAAAATGGAAAGGTATTTACTGTTGGTTGATTATTGCTATATTAATAATTGCTAGTTGCAGAAAAGTCTTTCATCCATGGATTTTGCTAAAAATAAATTTATATAGGATTAATATTAATTGGTTTGTTTATTTCTTGTTGCAGAAGAACTACATAAACATTAGTGTTGGTTTCCAAAACTTGAGAGTTTTGCAACCGTGTGAAAGTCAAAAGGTTTCGCCATAAGTCGAAACTAGTTTTGATTTTTGACTATTGACTTTTGATTTAGTTTTGACATATAACTTTTAATTTTAGTTTTGACTTTCACCTCTTCAAAATAGTTTTGGCAACCAACACTAATAAACATACTTTACAAACAAAAGCACAAGTTGAAATCTTGAAATGAAGATAGTGTAAAAAGTAAACGACATAAAGTTGCAGTAAAAATAACATCATTCAATTCTTAAAGTCATCAATTTATCACATGATTAACTTTTGCCTTCAAACCTTCCAACTTTTCAATGCTTTCATCACCGTCTTGATATTTCACGAAATTATAAACATACTTGGCCTCTAATAGTAATCATAACAAGAACAAAAATAACTCTATGTTGTACAATAATTCAGGTAATAGTAACAGCAAAGGGTCCAGAACCTGATTGTGAAAAAGAGGTCGGTATATCATTCCTATAATTGCGCGATAATTTAACTTTTTTCATAAAAAGAAAAAATTATTGAAGTTTTTATTTGTTTTTTATTATTATTAATCAAAGAACGAAAATGAACAAAAGATATTGATGACATTTATAATACTCCTGATGAGTCTTATTTTCGTCCCTCAGTTTACAAGCCCAATTCAATCAACCAATATATTGAACGTTTACAAAAAAGACAAGATCCACCACCGAATAATCGTAATTATCATTTGTTTATTTTCTTCATTTTTATTTCTTGAACAAGAATGATATTTATTTATTTATTTTATAGCACTACCAGCTTGTAATTATTATCCGTTTATTCAGTTTTTCGTTTTTATTTCTTGGATCAAAAAATGTTGTTTATTATTATAGAACAACCCCAGATGCAACAACACCACTCTGTAGACCAAAATGCATCAACAATCCTATTTTGAAGTGTGATAATTTGTTGCTTGCTATATAAATTTTATAATAAAAATTAATTTTTAATTTATGTAATCGAATTTTATAAAATAATATAAAAATTTCAATTTAAAATCATAAAACAAGATTTTACAAAATTTAAACTTTTCATTAAACAATTATTTTAATAAAAATGACTTTATTTATGACTCATTATAAATACATGCGGCTAAAACCTCTCAAGGATATGGCTGAATCTGAAAGTCCGAAATTTAAGTTCGAAACTGATGCCGAATCCGAAACCCTATGCCGAAATCTGAAACCCTGTCGTGTTTAAAATCCCCAGTCGAAACCTTTTTTATATAGAACTTGTATTAGGTTTTCAAATAAGGTTCATTCGAATGATTTGTTTTATTCGTTATGAATTCGAGTGTTCGAATTACATTGAAAGTTTATTTGGATAAAATGAATAAAACAAATAGTTTGATAATTCGAATAAAATAATTACTAATCCAATCCAATTAATAATTTTTTTCCCTATCAATCTATTTTTCCTTAGTCCTTGTATATATAATAACAACAATAATAAATAGTAGTAACGGATTCTTTTCTTTCCTTTCCTTAAGTCATAGTACTAGCATATATTGTCCTGTTAATTTATAAAAATAAATTTCTTAAAAATAAAATAAAGTAATTCATTAAAAAACCCCGAATAAAGAAAAACACGCTTCCATTTTTTTATCTACATGCTTCATCAAGACTGTTTCTTCTACCGACAGTGTGATAAGTGGAAGCGCCCTATATAAAACAAGCCTAACTACATTCAGGGAGGTTCAATATAAAGGATTTTTTAACGAATGTAATGTGGTCGACTTTACGAAAAGTAGGAGAGCATCAAGAAAGCAGCTCTCCCTTCAAAACGTTTTTGACTTGACCATCTACAAAACATAAGGGTTGACCCTGCCCGCATGTAATGTTGAATATTGGTTGATGAGAACATGTTTGCTGAAGGACAATATACGTTGCAATGAGTAAAGCTCCTTCATCAAAAAACTTGGATATTCACGGTTTTGACTACGTCCAATTAAAGATTTCTAAAGAAGAATATAAAAGATTGGAAAAGGTTAATGCAAAATTTTGATAAAGTCGTAAAAAAAGTATAGTAAAAATAGATCTGTCATTCATCATTATCATGTTGTGGAACGAATAAATCTTTTCCTAATATTTCTACTTGCTTGCATGTAATTTTTCGCGACTAAAAAAGAAAAGTTTAGTAACTATTTAATATTAATATTAATATTAATTGATGATTACTGCACCTGCTTTATTATTACAAATTAAATAAATTAGTGCACGTGCCCGCCGGTTTTATTATTATCATTACTCACTCCAATCACATTAAACGTTTATAACTTTGGAAGCAAAAAACTACAAAAAAAAATTTTTAAAATGTTTTTAATTCCTAGGAACCTTGTCTATAATGTAACAATACTATTTTTTTTTTGAAAAAATTTCTACTATATAGAATTTATGACACCAATTTTAATAAATGATTTAACTCTCAAATCATTTTTTGGAATTAAAAATTTCTCATCTGTGATGATTTATACAAAACGATTTTCAATTTTAATTGCTAAATAAACACCTTCTCATACAGGGTTTTGGTCTCCATGGGGTAAATCAGTTATATCATGGGAACGTGGATATAAATAATTGATCCCTGTGGAACATTATTTAAAATTATTATTATTATTATTATTATTAAAATACATGTTCCCAACTGATAACGCATACCAAATCCTATGCCTCAGTTGGTGCGTGGTTCTTCTGTGAATCCTGGCCATCCCAGCTAGACTTCTCCCACAGTGTTGCCAGCAAACAGCCAGTTAGTTGTCTCATTGGACACACTTAATAAAAAGGTAGGATGTCTATAATTTTAAATGTATTCTGCAGAATCAGGGTAGAGATAGTAAGGAGAAGCTTATTCAAGCACTCTCCTTTCAATAAGGAAATGTAAAAGTTGGAAATAATATTCCTTGTCGCATGTGATAACAAACAGACAATTGGTATATTTGTTTTGTGCAAGCATTCATTATTATCATTAAAATGATTATAAGCATTAAATATATGTGTGTGTGTGTGTGTATATCACACATACATAGAAATCTACTCTTGGACAATCCGGGAACGCTAAAAGTCGATTCGATATGCAATGTTAGATATTCAGGACTCGAATATTTAAAATATTACAATTGTTCACATCTTCCTTGTGAAAAAGGCTAATCTGACTTGATCACCCGATGATATGAGAATGTAATTAAACGTTAGGGAGGGGTAACGATGCTCTAAAGTTTATTAATCATATTGTATTAAAGCATTTTGCTTGTCTGAAGCCTCCCAACTTGTTCAGTTGCCTTGCCTATAGAAAAAATTCTATAGTTATGAGGTTTGCAATTGCATGACGCTTGCTTGTTTGTATAAGGGAAATTTTATTAAATCTGACACCTATGATCAGGGTTGCGTTAGCTGTAGATCCAAATCCACCACCACCATATGCTGACAATAATCTACACGTAATATTAAGTGTAAGATCAACAACAGCATCACCACACAACCTTCGCTCAAGCAACTCCAACTCCACTATCTCGATCACTAACTCAAAGTGATAATCAACCATCCCAATCAAATTCACCACCAATTCAACCTCCACCTGATTTCCATCATCAAGAACACCAAGTCACAACACACCTTGAACACGTTCAATACCAACCCTGTTCATAATTAATATCAGATTTATTCATTTCATCTTTTTGGGAATGATTTTTCAAAGAGCCTACAACTTGTATTGTGTGCAATTGGAAAGCACACACACAAGAAAAGGGGACCAAGTAGAGACTCAAATGCTAAAATTTTCCACAACACCCTGGATGAAGCCGTTATCATCCATGGAAAAGGGTTGCTTATTTTCAAATTCCTCATCTTTTACTCATAGGAAAGATATCATTATGTGGCTTTGTTAAAAGTCAGTTCCTTAAATTTATTTCTGCATGGTCCTGGTATTATCATTATTCGGATGATGCAATTTATATTAATCCTAAAAATGATGATAAGTAATGCTTTATTTATTAAGAGAAAAATACTTTATATAATGATTACAGAAGGATTATTTTTACAAAAATGTGAATTAGGTGAAACTTGCATATCAAATCTTTACAGGTAATATATTATTTTGCTACTAATTCAAATTTCAATTGTTATGATTCTGGTGATTTTCCATCAGTGTCCCAAGATTCATTGAATGTTTGTAATTTTTTTTGTACAAAGTAAAAATTGATCAATTTTTAAATAATCTCTTTTTGGGTTATTAAAGCTAAAGGATTATTACCAGCTTGGGTAAATTCGTTAGTAAATTTTGAAAATTTTAGGGTAACCTATCCATATAGTTTCTGGGGTCCTAGGCATACTAATAAAAAAATATATTAGAAGCAGAAATACTAAACAGGTTTAGATAAAAAGATTACTTTTATTACTGACAATGGAAGTAATATGCATGGCACATACATTACTATGTGTTGAAAAAGTGTAAAATTGCGATGGCTTTAGTTTTAAGTAAAGACACTTGCCGTAGATGATTGGGCCAGGAGCTACCATTGCCATAAATAGCTGCTAGTAGCTACTATTTGCCGTAAATAATTACAACTGTCACAAATAACTATGGTGAATAGATAAATAAATATGGCTACCGCAAGTAACTATGACTGCTGGAAATAACTACGTCTGCAGGAAATAGTTTTCAATAATTGTCATTAATATTATTAGTCATATTAGTCATGCGAAAATTTTCTTGAATGATTTGTTATCCGCAGTAAACTGAATTTTTTAATTGTAATTGATGAGGTCATTCACTTACAGTGAAAAGATAAATTTGCAGCAGCCGTAGCAATTTGCGGCAGCCATATCTGTTTGCAGAAAGCCGTAAATATTTGCGGCAGTCTTATCTATTTACGGTAGTCATATTTTATTTGCGGCCGTATTTATTTGCGGCAGCCGTAAATATTTTATATGGTAGTTACCATTGCCGCAAATAACCAATTACAGCAGATGTCTTTAGTTTTAAGAGCAAGAAGACTTGTATTGTTTTTAATTTTCCCAAACAGTCAGAAGCATTGAAGGAAGAAGTAAACAAATTACATTATGGATCATTTTCTCATTATTGGTGGCAGTCTTCTGATAATGAAAAAGTATTTCGTTTTCAGTAAAGAAAAATAATCTTTGAAGTATCATCGTTATTGTTGCTGTTATTATCGTTGCTGTTTTTACTAGCTTATATTATATTTTAAAAAATGGAAGGGTTAATAAGCAATTAGAACTGTCGGCTTATTTCATTTTACTCATTCATTAAGAATTTTTATTAATACAATGTGTTGATATTTGTTTTCTTACAACGAATGATTGTTATATGACCATCAAAAATATTCTAGTTGGTATTATTAATGGGTAATAAGCAACATATGAACACCTGAGGGTTACAGCATATGGCATATGACAATGGCAAGTGCCGTATGCCATATAAGTAAGCTTACAGTCAAACATTGTCACAGCGGATGAACGGTACACATAAGAAGATTTTAATGTTTTTTATACGTGAAGCAAAAATTTAAAAATCCGTTTTGACAAAAAATTTAATTATAGCGTTTGACTGCCGTGTCGTACTACGAACACCTTTACTAACAATAGCTTTTATTGTATACAACATTGTTTAAACAAATCTATAGTTAAATGATGGATTTATTGTTACGCGACCACCAAAAATACCCTAATTGTATGGTAACAGATAATGATACTATTATTAATAATAATTCTTATTGTATATATTGTTTTATCAATACAAATATACAATAGAAATTATTATTAATAGTACCGACTAGGGCACTTTGTTATTGATGTTGGATTTTTTTTCTTTGATGGTCGCATAACAATAATTAGTCATTTAGCCGTAGAGCTGTTTTTTGAAGAACTACAATGTTAGCCAAGGTTATGTATTTCAAACGTTATATAATTTGGATATTAAAAATGTTGATTGTTATTTATACATGCTTGTTTATTAATTCAACGTGGTGGATTTAAATCTGGTATTATTAATATGAATTTGTATTATTGTATTCAATAGAATAAAAATTTTGTAATTTATATTATATTAAAGGAATCTTTAGTAGTAATAAATCGAGGGATCCTAATATATTGTTAGAGATTCTGGGTGGAAGAATCAATAAAAATTTAAAAGAATTTCAAAAAAGAATAAAAATTTCAACCATCGCTAAATGAAAAAATGGCATAAGAAACATTAAGGCTTCTAATTCATAAATTTAATTTTTTGCCCAATAAAAAAACAAAATTCATATATTAATATTAATATATTAATATATTGATTGATATTTTTTTTTTGGATATACATATTATCATGTGATTAAATCCCAGTTAATGATTTTTTTTTATCATATATAGTAGATTGTCTAATTTTTACCTCATAATAATAATATTTACAAACAAAAAGCCACAAGTTAAAAAAATATCGTGTAACTTTATCTTTTGTCATCAATTTATCACATGATTGATTTTTGCGTACAAGCCTTCCAATCATTTCTAATGGCACATCATTAACTGTCTTGACGTTTCGCGAAATCACAAACATACTTTGATGACTAAATGTCTCCAACAGCAAAAACTACCTCTTAATCATAAAAAGACTTAAAGGAGAGATTAAATTTTCGATTTAACTCGTGTAACAAATATATAAATAATTTCGCTTTGTACATCAAATTCTGGTAATGGTAATATTAAAAAGGCATATTCGATGAAATAGAATTTTTGTGTAAAGTTACAAAATTTTTAAAGTTCACTTTTTTACTATATATAATAATTATTTGTGTGAAATAAACATGTAGATCATTCTAGAATCGATATAATTTTATTCGGGCCAATCAAATTTTCAAATATTAAAATAAATTTCCTAAACAAAAAAAAATATTTTTTCCCGTTTAAGGGTCCAAAGCGAAAATTTCATTTTTTTCTCGAAATTTTTTTTTTTTAAAGCAATTTTTTCATAAATAACCACACAAAAAAAATTAAATACAAATATACATATATTATTGAAGCTTTTATTCCTATTATTATTATTATTTATTTATTTATTATTAATCAAAGAACGAAAATGAACAAAACAAACCCAAAGATATTGATGACATTTATAATACTCCTGATAAGTTTCATTTTCATCCTTCAGTTTACAAGTCCAATTCAATCAGCTAATATTGGACATTTACAAAAAAGACAAGATCCGCCACCGGATAATCGTAATTATCATTTTATTTTCTTTGTTTTTATTTCTTGAACAAAAGATGATGTTTTATTTAATTATTTTATGGCACCACTAAAACCAACAATGGATGATCACAATTATCATTTGTTTATTTTCTTTGTTTTTATTTCTTAAATCAAAAAAATGATGTTTTATTTATTTATTTTATAGCAAAGCCAGATAACCCACCACCAAAACCAGATAACCCACCACCAAAACCAGATAACCCACCACCAAAGCCAGATAACCCAGCACCAAAGCCAGATAATCCAGCACCAAGTCCTGATAAGCCAGCACCAAGTCCTGATAAGCCAGCACCAAGTCCTGATAAGCCAGCACCAAGCCCTGATAAGCCAGCACCAAGTCCTGATAATCCAGCACCAAGTCCTGATAATCCAGCACCAAGTCCTGATAATCCAGCACCAAGTCCTGATAATCCAGCACCAAATCCTGATAATCCAGCACCAAGTCCTGATAATCCAGCACCAAGTCCTGATAATCCAGCACCAAATCCATCACCAAATCCATCACCAAATCCATCACCAGATCCATCACCAAATCCACCACAAAAACCCGATAATCCATCACCAAATCCATCACCAAATCCTGGTAAGTCTTTTTTTGTTGAAGGAAAGACACACACATATAAATAGAATTTGTATGTCTTGATAGATAGTTAGATTTAGTTTTTTAAAAATATAAATATGATCATATCATAAATATATATTTATTAGTGTTACTACCTCTGACACACCAGCCACTAATATAGTTAGCAGTGATCTAGCAACAGATACTGTAGTGACTGGGTTTAATACAATTAATTACAGAATTAATATATTTATATTTATATAACCTTTTTCTTTTTCTTTTTATTTTTATTTTTAAATAAAACTGATAAACCTATTGATAAACCCACAGGTAATTCTTTTTGTGCAATTAATTATAGAATTAATGTATTTATATTTATATAATTAATATAATTAATTTATATGAAATTAATTAGAATCTACTAGTAAAACTACTAAATCATATCCACCTGGACAAGAACCATGTACAAAAGCTGATGATCCAAGATGTGAACGTAAAACAACAGAGTGAGTGATTTTTGTTTTTAAAAGAAAAATTCATTA